AGCGACTAAAATGCCGGGAGCAATGGGCTAGTAACCCCTTCTCCTGTAGACATTTACTAAAAAAGAGAAGAAGAAAAACTTTATAAAACTGGGATGCTTGAATGTGCATGGATGTAGTGCAGATGACAAGAAACAGATGATTGCTGATGTTATGAATGAAAAGAAGTTGGATGTCCTGGCCCTAAGCGAAAAAAAAGCTGAAGGGGGTAGGGGAGTTTCGGTGGGGGGAAACAAATGGGATTAAATCTGGAGTATCTGAGAGAGTTAGAGCAAAGGAAGGGGTAGCAGTAATGTTGAATGATCAGTTATGGAAGGAGAAAAGGAATATGAATGTGTAAATGCAAGAATTATGTGGATTAAAGTAAAGGTTGGATGCGAGAAGTGGGTCATAATAAGCGTGTATGCACCTGGAGAAGAGAGGAATGCAGAGGAGAGAGAGAGATTTTGGGAGATGTTAAGTGAATGTATAGGAGCCTTTAACCAAGTGAGAGAGTAATTGTGGTAGGGGACCTGAATGCTAAAGTAGAGAAACTTTTAGAGAGGGTGTGGTAGGTAAGTTTGGGGTGCCAGGTGTAAATGATAATGGGAGCCCTTTGATTGACCTTTGTATAGAAAGGGGTTTAGTTATAGGTAATACATATTTTAAGAAAAAGAGGATAAATAAGTATACAAGATATGATGTAGGGCAAAATGACAGTAGTTTGTTGGATTATGTATTGGTAGATAAAAGACTGTTGAGTAGACTTCAGGATGTACATGTTTATAGAGGGGCCACAGATATATCAGATCACTTTCTAGTTGTAGCTACACTGAGAGTAAAAGGTAGATGGGATACAAGGAGAATAGAAGCATCAGGGAAGAGAGAGGTGAAGGTTTATAAACTAAAAGAGGAGGCAGCTAGGGAAAGATATAAACAGCTATTGGAGGATAGATGGGCTAATGAGAGCATAGGCAATGGGGTCGAAGAGGTATGGGGTAGGTTTAAAAATGTAGTGTTAGAGTGTTCAGCAGAAGTTTGTGGTTACAGGAAAGTGGGTGCGGGAGGGAAGAGGAGCGATTGGTGGAATGATGATGTAAAGAGAGTAGTAAGGGAGAAAAAGTTAGCATATGAGAAGTTTTTACAAAGTAGAAGTGATGCAAGGAGGGAAGAGTATATGGAGAAAAAGAGAGAGGTTAAGAGAGTGGTGAAGCAATGTAAAAAGAGAGCAAATGAGAGAGTGGGTGAGATGTTATCAACAAATTTTGTTGAAAATAAGAAAAAGTTTTGGAGTGAGATTAACAAGTTAAGGAAGCCTAGAGAACAAATGGATTTGTCAGTTAAAAATAGGAGAGGAGAGTTATTAAATGGAGAGTTAGAGGTATTGGGAAGATGGAGGGAATATTTTGAGGAATTGTTAAATGTTGATGAAGATAATGAAGCTGTGATTTCGTGTATAGGGCAAGGAGGAATAACATCTTGTAGGAGTGAGAAAGAGCCAATTGTGAGTATGGGGAAAGTTCGTGAGGCAGTAGGTAAAATGAAAGGGGGTAAGGCAGCCGGGATTGATGGATAAAGATAGAAATGTTAAAGCAGTGGGGATATAGTTTCAGAGTGGTTGGTGCAATTTTTAAAAAGTATGGAAGGAGGGTAAGGTACCTAGGGATGGCGAGGCTGCATAGTTCCTTTGTATAAGGCAAAGGGGACAAAGAGAGTGCAAAAATTATAGGGGATAAGTCTTGAGTATACCTGGGTGCTTGTAGAGTTGTTATTGAAAAATTAAAAGTAAGGGAAATAGGATGGCAAGAACAAGGAGGCTTAGGAAATGTAGGGGGTGTGTGGACCAGTGTTTACAGTGAAACAATAAGTGAACAGTAATTAGATAAGCAATAAGAGGTCTTTGTGGCATTTAATGGATTTGGAAAAGGCGTATGACAGGGTGGTTTAGGGGGCAATGTGGCAGATGTTGCAGGTGTATGGTGTAGGAGGTAGGTTACTGAAAGCAGTGAAGAGTTTTTACGAGGATAGTGAGGCTCAAGTTAGAGTACATAGGAAAGAGGAAATTATTTCCCAGTAAAAGTAGGCCTTAGACAAGGATGTGTGATGTCACCGTGGTTGTTTAATATATTTATACATGGGGTTGTAAGAGAAGTAAATGCGAGGGTCTTGACAAGAGGCGTGGAGTTAAAAGATAAAGAATCACACATAAAGTGGAGTTGTCACAGTTGATCTTTGCTGATGACACTGTGCTCTTGGGAGATTCTGAAGAGAAGTTGCAGAGATTGGTGGATGAATTTGGTAGGGTGTGCAAAAGAAGAAAATTAAAAGTGAATACAGGAAAGAGTAAGGTTATGAGGATAACAAAAATGTTAGGTGATGAAAGATTGGATATCAGATTGGAGGAGAGAGTATGGAGGATGTGAATGTATTCAGATATTTGGGAGTGGACGTGTCAGCGGATGGGTCTATGAAGGATGAGGTGAATCATAGAATTGATGAGGGGAAAAGGGTGAGTGGTGCACTTAGGAGTCTGTGGAGACAAAGAACTTTGTCCTTGGAGCAAAGAGGGAATGTATGAGAGTATAGTTTTACCAACACTCTTATATGGGTGTGAAGCATGGGTGATGAATGTTGCAGCGAGGAGAAGGCTGGAGGCAGTGGAGATGTCCTGTCTGAGGGCAATGTGTGGTGTGAATATAATGCAGAGAATTCGTAGTTTGGAAGTTAGGAGGAGGTGCGGGATTACCAAAACTGTTGTCCAGATGGCTGAGGAAGGGTTGTTGAGGTGGTTCGGACAGTAGAGAGAATGGAGCGAAACAGAATGACTTCAAGAGTGTATCAGTCTGTAGTGGAAGGAAGGCGGGTAGGGGTCGGCCTAGGAAAGGTTGGAGGGAGGGGGTAAAGGAGGTTTTGTGTGCGAGGGGCTTGGACTTCCAGCAGGCGTGCGTGAGCGTGTTTGGTAGGAGTGAATGGAGACGAATGGTTTTTAATACTTGACGTGCTGTTGGAGTGTGAGCAAAGTAACATTTATGAAGGGGTTCAGGGAAACCGGCAGGCCGGACTTGAGTCCTGGAGATGGGAAGTACAGTGCCTGCACTCTGAAGGAGGGGTGTTAATGTTGCAGTTTAAAAACTGTAGTGTAAAGCACCCTTCTGGCAAGAGAGTGATGGAGTGAATGATGGTGAAAGTTTTTCTTTTTCAGGCCACCCTGCCTTGGTGGGAATCGGCCAGTGTGATAATAAAAATAATTAAATAGTTTTGAATCTGTTCTTTATTTATTAATCCCAATTTGCACTCTATTTATAGATATTTTCTTTTATCAGTGGTACCCAAGAATGCTATTTGTTAGCCTTGGGTTACCGAGTCTCTACTGCGATCTGCTTTGTTGTAATAGGACAATGTTGTGGAGGCTTTGTATTTTTGGTTAAAAATACTGACTTGTTTGTCAATTTCCTTATCATTAGTAAACTCTCTGTGCCTCTGATATATTTGATGAGTACTGAGAACTTTCTTACTCCCAGAGCCAAGCTTTGGGCTACTCTCGTCTGGTACTTGCCTGGTCATCCAGGCTCTAGTTGCTGGCTGCCATCAGACAGATTTGGAGAACATGACAGGGCACTGAGGACCAAAGCAAATCTACTGGTCACAAGAGATGCTATAATTTACTGGGCTTTCTTGGATTAAGTAAAACATTGAAGTTAGCTTTAGACTCAGCATCACTTACTGCTATAAGAGAGCTATATGATTTAGATTTAGGGATTTCATTTCCTCTAGAAATTTTTTTTATTTTTTTTTTTATTTTCTGAAGGTAATGTCACCAAAAGTATGAAATTTGATGGAAAATTTATGGAATTATGTAGGTGCAAAATTAGCAGTCTGAGCTCAGTTTATGCATCAGCAATTTTTCCCACATTAGAGTATTGTTTTAAGTCATTTTCAATGCTCCATTCAATCAAGAGGCAAACTACTGCATCACTGGTTGGCTAAGACACCCCCCCCCTTCCACACACACACACCAACAGTGGTGATAGTAGTGGGAGGTACAATGCCTGCACTCTTGAGGAGGGGCTATAGATGTTTACTGTTTGGAGAGACACATAAATGCCTCTGGCAAGACAGTGTTTTTTGACAGTGTGGGTGATGATGAAAGTGTTTCTTTTTCAGGGCACCCTTCCTTGGTGGTAAATGACCAGTGTGTTTTAAAAAACTAATAATACAGTGGACCCCCGGTTAACGATATTTTTTCACTCCAGAAGTATGTTCAGGTGCCAGTACTGACCAAATTTGTTCCCATAAGGAATATTGTGAAGTAGATTAGTCCATTTCAGACCCCCAAACATACACGTACAAACGCACTTACATAAATACACTTACATAATTGGTCGCATTCGTAGGTGATCGTTATGCGGGGGTCCACTGTAATTATTTCTGCAAGTACATGATATATCTACTGTTTTACAGACCTAGCTGACAGCATTGGCATACTACTGTATATAATAAACCCCTGGTTATACAGAGCATTTTAGGCAACTTAGGTTAACTTGTTCATGCATATCATATCTCAAAATCTTCATTGCAACTCAAAACTAAATTCCTCTATGAGGGTAAATTGTAACTCAAAATTATTGTAATTCCAAGCTCTTCATAATTCAAGGGATCACTGTACTATGTTAGTCAACAGTACTATACTATACAGTAGAGTACTAATTAGGTATACAGTACAATATATATTAGGCATACAAAACAATGTTTGGTATGTAATACAGTAGTTTTATTTTTTAACATTATTCTGTTTTAAGACACTGACAATTTTATTAATTTATTTGCATGATATACCAATGAGGTGTATTGTAAGGTCATTTTTAACCTTAGTCTTGTCTTTGGTAATACTGTAAGCTTTAGCTCACAAAAAAAAAGTTAAAAAATCCTATTACTTTTTATTATCATTCTTGTACTTCTTTTTGTATATAGACAGTGCTATAAGTTGAGATGTTGTGAGTGAGTATTGTGCTTTATGTTTCAGGCTGTTGGTCAGGCAACAGCAGCACAGCAGCAGCAGCAGCAGCAGCACCTGGTGACTCTCCACCGTCTCCTGTAGCAGCAACTCCTCTAAGCCAAGTCAGTGGTACATCCTCAGCCATCCTCGGTGCCGACAGAACCACTTGCATCACCCACCTACCTTCCCCCACCAGAGTCCACAATTGATCTGGATGGAACTTTTTCGTGGTCTGTTTCATATCTTGATGACCCCAACTTTAGAGCTGTGCCTGTGAGCTGTTTCAGACATGTAAGTTGGTTTATAATGTATTCATGAAGCAGCTTCTTGCTCTGATCATTTTCTTGTAGAAGAGAGTGAGTTTTATTATTGCTAGAATTTTTGTTTTATTTACTACACCAGCTGTCTTCCACTACTGGTAGGGTTAGAAATATTTCGTCTCTTTCTTCTACATTCTGACAAGTTTTTTCTAGTGAACATGACAAGGAACTTGAAAGTTCACCTTATCTTAACATGTCTTTATTGTAGTTAGCGTGACAAGGAACTTCCAGATGACCTTAATATGCTTTTGTTCTAGTAAGCATCATAAGGAACTTCTAGATTGCCTTAACATGTCTTTGAACACATTTTCTTACCCTTGTGCCCAGTTGGCTCCTTTTTTTCAACAAGTCGGCCATCTCCCACCTAGGCAGAGTGACCCAAAAAGAAAGAAAATCCTCAAAACAAAAATACTTTCATCTTTCAACACTTTCACCTCACTCATACATAATCACTATTTTTGCAGAGGTGCCCAGATACAACAGTTGAGAAGCATATATAAAGATACAGTATAAAAAATGACCTGAAATAATATAATAAACTCTATGCAGAATACAATATCAGGGCCCCATTATATGTATACCGTCCTATTACACATCCCTCCAAACTGCCAATATCCCAGACCCCTCCTTTAAAGTGCAGGCATTGTACTTCACATTTCCAGTCCAGCTATATAAAAATAACCGGTTTCCCTGAATCCTTTCACTAAATATTACTCTGCTCTCACTCCAAAAGCTTGTCAGGTCACAAAAACCATTTGTCTCCATTCACTCTTATCTAACACGCTCACGCATGCTGGAAGTCCAAGCCCTCGCCCACTAAACCTCCTTTACCCCCTCCCTCCAACCTTTTCGAGGATGACCCCTACCCTGCTTTCCTTTCCCTACAGATTTGTATGCTCTCCATGTCATTTTACTCTGATCCATTCTCTCTAAATGACCAAACCACCTCAACAACCCCTCTTCAGCCCTCTGACTAATACTTTTATTAACTCCACATCTCCTAATTTCCGCACTCTGAATTCTCTACATAATATTTACACTACACATTGCCTTTAGACGGGACATCTCCACTGCCCTCCAACGCTTCCTTGCTGCAGCATTTACAACCCAAGCTTCACACCCACTGTACTTTCATACATTCCCTTCTTTGCCTCCATAGATAATGTTTTTTGTCTCCACATATACCTCAACATACCACTAACCTTTTTTCCTTTATCAATTCTATGGTTAACCTCATCCTTCATAAACCTGTCCGCTGACACGTCAGCTCCCAAATATCTGAACACTTTCACTTCTTCCATACTCCCTCTCTCCAATGTGATATCAAATTTTTCTTTATCTAAATTATTTGATAATCATCACATTACTCTTATATATGTTCACTTTCAACATTTTACCTTTACACACACCTCCCAAACTCGTCCACTAACTTTTGCAGCTTTTCTTTAGAATCTCCCATAAGCACAGTATCATCACCAAAAAGTAACTGTGTCAACTCCCATTTTGTTCTTGATTCCTCATAATTTAATCCCACCCCTCTCCCCAACACCTTAGCATTTACCTCCTTCACAACTCCATCTGTAAATATATTGCACAACCATGGTGACATTACACATCCCTGTCTAAGACCTACTTTTACCAGGAAGTAGTCTCCCTCTTTCCTACACACCCTAACCTGAGCCTCACTATCCTCATAAAAACTCTTTACAGCATTTAGTAACTTATTACCTATTCCATGCACTTGCAACATCTGCCACATCACTCCCCTATCCACTGTATCATATGCCTTTTCTAAATTCATAAATGCAATGAAAACTTCCCTACCTTTATCTAAATACTGTTCACATACAGTTGTCCCTCGTTTTTCATATGGCTCAAAATTCGTAATTTTCGGAAATTGTAACGTTCTTTTTGGCAAAACATTGACTCGCGAATCGTTGTTTGACTCGCAAATAGTCGTTCGTCTCGGATGCGTATACAGTGGACCCCCGCATACCGTTGGCCTTACATAACGTTAAATCCGCATACCGATACATTTTATCGCTAAGATTTTGCCTCGCATACCGCTAAAAAACCCGCTCAACGCTGTTCGTCCAAGACACGTCTATGTGAGGCCTGAGCCAGCCTCACATGTTCCGCCGGTGGCATTGTTTACAAGCCAGCCTCCGCGGTAACATCCAAGCATAAAATCGTAACATTTCGTATTATTACAGTGTTTTTGGTGACCATGGGCCCCAAGAAAGCTTCTAGTGCCAACCCTGTGGTAAAAAGGGTGAGAAATATTATCGAAATACTGTGGTACCATGGTCAACTGCTGATGCTGCTGCTGCTGTAGCACTGTCAGCTGCTGCTGCTGCTGTAGCACCGTCAGCTGCTGCTGCTGCTGCTGTACCACCGTCAGCTGCTGCTGCTGCTGTTGTAGTACTGTCTGCTGCTGCTGTAGCATTGCTGCTGCTGTAGCACTGTCAGCTGCTGGTGCTGCTGTAGCACTGTCAGCTGCTGGTGCTGCTGTAGCACTGTCAGCTGCTGCTGCTGCTGCTGTACCACTGTCAGCTGCTGCTGCTGCTGCTGCTGCTGCTGCTGTAGTACCGTCTGCTGCTGCTGTAGCATCGTCTGCTGCTGCTGTAGCACTGTCAGCTGCTGCTGCTGTAGCACTGTCAGCTGCTGCTGCTGTAGCACCGTTGTTGGTGTGGCTTATTGAGAATACCAAGAAACAATTAACCCCAGAGGGTTAGCCACCCAGGATAACCCAAAAAAGTGTGTCATCGAAGACTGTCTAACTTATTTCCATTGGGGTCCTTAATCTTGTCTCCCAGGATGCAACCCACACCAGTCGACTAACACCCAGGTGAACAGGGAAAAACGCCTGGAACTAGTGCTCATATTGGAGAATTTAAAGCCAGCAAAGGTTGGTTTGAGAGATTTAAGAATCGCTGTTGCTGAATCAGTCAGCTGTTGCTAGATCAGTCAGCTGTTGCTGGATCAGTCAGCTGTTGCTGGATCAGTCGGCTGTTGCTGGACCAGTCAGCTGTTGCTGGATCAGTCAGCTGTTGCTGGATCAGTCAGCTGTTGCTGGATCAGTCAGCTGTTGCTGGATCAGTCAGCTGTTGCTGGATCAGTCAGCTGTTGCTGGACCAGTCAGCTGTTGCTGGACCAGTCAGTTGTTGCTGGACCAGTCAGCTGTTGCTGGACCAGTCAGCTGTTGCTGGACCAGTCAGCTGTTGCTGGACCAGTCAGCTGCTGCTGCACCACGGTCAGCTGCTGTTGCTTCATCAGCTCCTTGTCCGAGCGATCCCATCTTTCTTTTCAACAGCCTGACATGAGCAGAGACTGTCAACAAAAAGAAAGTACCAGCAGGAAGGAGAATGCCTACATCAGGCAACCAAGTCACTTGGTGAGCCATGCTACTTAACTTATGGTCAACCTGGTGAGTGACAAGCCACTCAACATGTCCAATCAAGAACTTTTTGTTGACAGTCTCTGCTCATGTCAGGCTGTTGAAAAGAAAGATGGGATCGCTCGGACAAGGAGCGGTTGGTTTCAAAAGTATCAGCCAACCTGGCTGCCTCCAATGCAGTAAAGACATGGTCCTGCAGAAAGACTCAAACCTCTGGTCCCACAGACTCCAGCAGGTTATACACCAATATTAGCTGAACCAACTCGTCAATACTTGGCAGGGACGCTGTATGAACCAAAGACACCCAATGCTGTTCAGGCCACCTCAAGGCTTGAGCCTGGTTTTCGAAAGTTTCGAAAATGCTAAGTCTGGCCCACATACACATCAAAGTGTTCCAAGACCAGTACTAGAGGGCTTCTTCTGTTCAGGCTCAGCCTCAATGAAACGAGGAACCAGCTGTACTGCTTTTTGCAAACTAAAATCATTTACAACTTGAGAAAACTGCCTCCTTTCTTTTTCCCTATCAAATTCTTCCTTGGCATATGCCCGTTGCTCCCTAGTCTGCTCAAGATCGATTTTCGCCAACTCAAGTGCCAACGAAGCCGATTCACCTTCAGACAACCCTGTCACATGAGACTGATGGTTTTGCTCAGGTGATATAACTTTTCCCTCCTGCAAGAACCTCAGGGTTTTATTCCTGGCTCCCGTAGGGGGAGGAGTCTGATATGCCATCTCCTCTTCTCGAAGTTTGACACTCATAAGAGGATGAAGCTGCACAGCTGTGAGAGAGCATTCGTAATCAATGCCAATGGAACGAGCAATTTGCCAGCAATGCTGTAGAGAAAACTTAGGCAAGTTTAATAAAGTGTATTCAGACACTAGCCGTCTGACTCGTCTAGGTGGCATTTAACCCCAACATTAACACGCTATTTGCAATACACTCTCAGTTACGCACTGTACGACTGCAGATACTCACACAATAGCAAGACTGCCACGCAACAAAGCCAGATGCAGAATACGCACATACAATAGCAAGGATGACATTAGCAAAGCTGATACAAAGTTAACATGCAAAACAACAAGCTATCTATGATCACATAACAGCAGGCCCGACAAGCAAAAATTCCTGAAGTATTGGCAAAGCTGACACAATGCCAGATAGCCAGCTATTTAAATCATGCCAGAAGGCCACCAAATCATAGTTCAATTGACCCCAGACCAAAATGTCCCCACCCTGCACTTCACTTCCCACAGTTTCCGTAAATCCTTCATAAATGTTACCTTGCCCACACTCCAACACCACATCAAATTGTATAATCTACTTGCATCCACTCCTGTCTAATATGGGTCATACAAACCTGGTAGATGTCCAACTCCTAGAACACAGAATCTCCTTTACCCCCTCTGTCTAACCTTTTCTGGTATGACTCCTACCACTCCTTCCCTCCACCCTTTATTTATATGCCCCTTGTAATAATACCATTTTTCTCCAGCTTCTCTGAATGTTCAAATCAACTAAGTTGCAGGAATTGCTCTGAGAGAGTAGAGGGATTAGTACCAAATTTGCACATGAAAATCATTCCCTGTGTAAGCAAAAAATTCGGTAGGTGGTGCAACATCCCCCCATTGAAAAGCAGGGGGACCATGAGTACATTAGGGAGATAGTCAGTGTCATGGGTTAAGACTATTCAACTCCCTCCCAGCATGCATAAGGAGGATTACCAATAAACCCCTGGCTGTTTTCAAGAATGTACTGGACAGGCATCTAAAGCCAGTACCTGACCAGCCAGGCTGTGGTTCATATGTCTGTTTACATGTAACCAGCAGTAACAGCTTGGTTGATGAGGCCCTGATCTACCGCAAGGCCTGGCCACAGATCAGGCCATGGGGGCGTTGACCCCTGAAACCCTCTTCAGGTATACTCCAGATAATACCCCCTCCTCAGCCCTCTGAATAATACATTTGGTTACTCCCGACTCTGAATTCTCTGCATACTATTAGTGCCTGATGTTGCCTTGAAGTTCCAGCCTCCTCCTCCTTACTGCAACATTCGCAGCCCATGTTTCACACCCATATTAATTGGTACCACAATAATCTGATACTTCTACCTATTTGCATTCATGTATACAAGTTCTTTGTCTGCACAGATATGTTAATGTTAATGCACTACCCTCCTTTTTTCCTTAAATCATTTTTGTGCAAAAATCTATTGAAGCTAAAAGTATGTGAAATTACCACTCTGTTCAGATCTTGTAACTGATTTATTCGACTTCCATTTATGCTGTACTGTCAAAAATGTTTTGTATTTTCAATATACATTGGGACCTCAGTTTTCGTATGCCCTAGTTGGAGACAATTCTTGGAGAAAATTCTCTGTAAAATGTATTTTTTGTTAATATTTTTGGGTGTTTGGAATGGATTAATTGGTTCCATTCCAGACACCCAAAAATATTAACAAAAACGACATTTTATAGAGGACTTTCTCCAAGAATTGTCTCCAACTAGGGCATATGAAAACTGAGGTTCCATTGTATGCAGTTTACCCAGCCAGCTACTTGAAGTGATGTACCATAAGTTAATTCCTTTTTATTGTTTACTTTGGCAAATGTCTTCAGGATACACTGATATTCTTTTGTATTTTAGAGTGTAAAAGATTATCTTCATATCCCCATTCTTCCTAATTTTTTTTTTGTTGCATATAATAATTGTGTACCAGGTGAATGTTCTGAGACAAAACTGCAGTAAAACACATGTAATAGACTGAGAGTTGATGTTGGAGGTATATTTACATACTTTTTGACTTTGACGTTGGGGGTATGTTTACATGTTTGAAAATCAGTATGGAGGTATGCTTGCATGTCTGCTAAGATTTGATGTGATGCACTTGCTACTTGACAGAGTGTTGATCTGGTGAAATGGTTGCTTATTACAAGAGAGAGTTAATGTGAGATATGCTTTTTTATTTCAAGAATGTATTGTAGATACTTTGAAACATAGCATGTCATGCATAATGTTAAATAGGTAATAGAGTTTATAGTGTTACATGGAACTTTGCTTCCCTGCAGGCACCCATGTCTGAGTGCTGGGAGCAGATGAGTGCTGGGATGAAGGTGGAGGTGGCGTGTGGGGAAGAAGGTGTTACAAAGGATGCATTTTGGGTGGCTACTGTGGTCACTATTTCAGGTGAGATTTCAATATTCTTGTGGAGAAATGTAAATGCCAGTGTTACTATTCCAGCATTGAGTTCCAAGAGGTTATTTGTTTTATACCTTTTATGGGTCATCCATGTGTATACAAAATCTTTTAACATGGTACAGTAGAGGACACTGAAAAAGTACAGGAAGACATAAACAGGGTTTTCCAATGGTCAGTGGAAAACAACATGATGTTCAATGGTGATAAGTTCCAGCTGCTTAGGTATGGAAAGAATGAAGAACTCAAAAGGAGCACTATATACAAAACTCAAGAGGGTCACCAGATAGAACGTAAGGAACACGTAAAAGACCTAGGAATAATTATGTCAGCGGACCTTTCTTTTAAAGACCATAACAAGACAAAGATAACGACAGCCAGGAAGATGACTGGGTGGGTATTGAGAACTTTCAAAACAAGGGAAACAATGCCGATGGTGACACTCTTCAAATTGCTAGTGCTCCCTCACTTAGAATATTGCTCAGTGCTGACGGCCCCGTCCAGGGCAGGAGAAATATCGGAGCTGGAACAAATAGTACAGAGATCGTTTACGGCTCACATTGAGCCAGTAAAGCACCTAAACTACTGGGAATGCCTGCAAGTCTTGAACATGTACTCATTGGAGCGGAGGAGAGAGAGGTACATGATAATATATACCTGGAAGGTACTCGAGGGCTTGGTCCCAAATCTGCACACTGCCGTAACAGCATACTGGAGTGAGAGATATGGAAGTGTAAAATAAACGCAGTGAGGAGCAGGGGTGCGGTGGGGACAATAAGGGAACACTGTATCAACATCCGGGGTCCCAGAGTTTTCAGCATCTTACCAGAAGATATCAGAAACACTGCTGGAACGAGTGTTGAAGCCTTCAAGAGGAAACTAGACAAGTATCTTCACCAGGTGCCAGATCAACCAGGCTGTGATGGATATGTGGGGCAGAGGGCCTCCAGCAGCAACAGCCTGGTTGACCAGGCGAGCACCAGATGAGCCTGGCCCATGGCCGGGCTCAGAGAGTAGTTATACTCTTGAAATTCTTCAAAGGTATATCAAAGGTAAAGGTATGGTTGCAGGAAGGGGAAAAATTTTGAGCATGTGGTCGCCCGCTGGGTGGGACGGTCTGTGGGTTAAACCATTGAGTCAAGTCAGTTAGTAAATCAGTCAAGTCAGTCAGTAAATCAGTCAAATCAAGACAGTAAAGCCAGTTAGCTAGTTCTTTTTAATTGTACGTTCTTTTTAAATGTATGAACTGACACTTCATTAAGGGCACTCTTAATTAAGCTTATCTACTATCTCTATTTTCTTTGTAATTCCTAGACTTGAATGCTTAATCCATTTCTTGTCACTTGCGGGAACACTTGTATGCTTACTGGGTGCCGTGATTGCTTGGCAAATGTAACAAATGGCAATGAAAATAAGGAAATAATATGTAAATAAACATGTCCTACACGTGTATGAACGAAGTGAAGGCTGGGAGGTGGTGTGGGTGGGTGTTGGTGGCTGAGGGAGACCTATTGTCATTCCCCACCACCCTCAGCCACTCACAACCACCCACACCACCCTCCCAGTCTTCAGTTTGGTTCATATGCGTGTAGGATGACAAAACTCGGAAGCTCATTGTGTTTATTTAAATACATATTTTCTTATTTTTTTATTGCCATTTGCTAAATCTGATTTACTGAGTTATTGACTCCCTTGACTGAATAACTTACTGACTTGGCTGATTTACTGACTTGACTGACATACTAACTGACTTGACTGACATACTGACTTGACTAACTTACTGAATGACTTAAAGTTAGACTTTTTCACTGAAGAGAGCAGCTGATGCCTTACCATCAGTTGTATAATGTATTGCAGGGTAAAATTGAACAGAAATCCATTGCAGAATTGATGCACACCCTAGTACAACCATCAACTTCAGTACCAGGACCTCTACCATCCACCTCAGCCCAGTAGGGCCACAGCATAACACTCTACTCTCTTCACAGTCATCAACAAACACAAGCACCCACAACTTAACCCTTAACCTTTTGACTGTTTCGGTTGTATATATGCATCTTATGAGGTACCGTGTTTGACGTACAGTGGACCCCCGAGTTTCGGCAGCCTCGACTTTTGCGAAATTCGACCTTCGGCGAGTTTTTTTGGAAAAATTTGGCCTTGAGTTTCGTGAAAAAACTTGTGTTTCGGCGACCGTCCGGTACCCGTCCGCCCGTCACCGCGCACACAAAGCCAGTCTCCCACGCCATTCACACTCCGTGTGCCATTGTTTACCAACACGTGACCATCACCCCGCGGGTTCATACAATACATTTCATAATAATCCATTGTTTTTTGTGCTTGCAACTGCTAAGTCATCATGGACCCAAGGAAAGCTAGTGTAAGCCCTTTGGTAAATAAAGTGAGTGACAGGGATGTGGAAGAGTTAGTGGAGGACCACAGGGAAGAGCTAACCACTGACGAACTGCAAGAGCTTCAACTGGAACAGCATCAGACAACAGCCAAGGAACTTGCTTCAGAGGAGGAGGAAGAGGGAGTGGATGAGGTGCCTTCTTCAGTGATTAAGGACATGTGTGGAATGTGGAATGAGTTGCAAAATTTTGTTGAAAAGTATCACCCTTACCAAGCTGAAACAAGCCGTATCTGCAACATGTACAATGACAGTGTTGTGTCCCACTTCAGGGAAATCTTAAAGAAACGCCAGAAAAAGACCTCTCTGGATAGATATTTTGTGCGCCAGGGGTCCAGTGACTCACAAGTTGTTCCCAGTGGCATTAAAAGAAGAAGGGAAGTAACCCCAGATAAGAGGGTCCACTGTATATATACACTGTATATATCCACTGTATATATACAGTGGACCCTCGAGTTTCGGCAGCATCGACTTTTGTGAAATGCGACCTTCGGCGAGTTTTTTTGGCAAAATTTGGCCTCGAGTTTCGTGATTAGACTCGTGTTTCGGCGACCGTTCGGTACCCGTCCGCCCATCACTGCGCATACCAAGCCAGTCTCCCACGCCATTCACGCTCAGTGTGCCATTGTTTACCAACACTTGACCATCACCCCGCGGGTTCATACAATACATTTCATAATAATCCATTGTTTTTTGTGCTTGCAACTGCTAAATAAGTCATCATGGACCTAAGGAAAGCTAGTGCAAGCCCTTTGGTAAATAAAGTGAGGAACACGATCCAGAGGGATTTTGAAGGGTTTGAGGCAGACCCTGTCCCTGCCGACCCTCTGCCTGTTTTGGAAGGTTTTGTGGCACTGGGCAAGTCCATGGGGTTGGAGGTGAGTGACGGGGATGTAGAAGAGTTGGTGGAGGACCACAGGGAAGAGTTAACCACTGACGAACTGCAAGAGACTCAACTGGAACAGCATCAGACCACTGCCGAGGAACTTGCTTCAGAGGAGGAGGAAAAGAGAGTGAAGGAGGTTCCTTCTTCAGTGATTAAGGACGTGTGTGGAATGTGGAATGAGTTGCAAAGTTTTGTTGAAAAGTATCACCCTGACCAAGCTGAAACAAGCCATATCTGCAACATGTACAATGACAGTGTTGTGTCCCACTTCAGGGAAATCTTAAAGAAACGCCAGAAAAAGACTTCTCTGGACAGATATTTTGTGCGGCAGGGGTCCAGTGACTCTCAAGTTGTTCCCAGTGGCATTAAAAGAAGAAGGGAAGTAACCCCAGATAAGGACTTGCTACCTAAAGTCTTAATGGAAGGAGATTCTCCTTCCAAACAATAGTGTACACCTTCCTCTTATCCCCTCTTCCCGTCTTCCATCCACCCAGAAGTCTTCAGTTAAGGTAAGTGTAATATTATTATTTTTTATATGCATGTACTTGATTTCTCATTGATTTCAGTATATAAATCTTTATTTAATTTGAAAAAAAAAAATTATTTTAATATTTTTGGGTGTCTGGAACAGATTAATTTTATTTACATTATTTCTTATGGGGAAAATGGTCTCGAGTTTCGTGAATTTTGACTTTTGGCAGGCTCTCTGGAACGGATTAATCACAAAACTCGGGGGTCCATTGTACTCATAAATTCTAGCAGTTTCAAATCAAGCAGGAGAAAGCTGGTAGGCCCACATGTGAGAGAATGGGTCTGTGTGGTCAGTGTGCACCATATAAAAAAAATCCTGGAGCGCGCAGTGCGTAATGAGAAAAAAAAAACTCCAACCGTTTTTTTCTTAATTGAAATGCCGACTTTGTGGTTATTTTCGTATAGTATTTATGGTTGTATTCTCGTTTTCTTGGTCTCATTTGATAGAATGGAAAACATATTATAGAAATAGAGGTGATTTTGATTGGTTTTACTATTAAAAGAACCTGGAAATGGAGCTCAAAGTAGGGGAAATGTTTGATTTTTGCCAATGTTCAAAAGTAAACAAATGATGTCATTGTCCAATAAATGTCCAGCTAGCCATTCTAATATGCAGTCATGAATGAGTTGACATTATTTGTGCAATTATTACAGTATTGCAGTAGTCTGCATAACAGTAAATCTTCTATATTTTGTAATAAAGTTGGTAGAATTACCGACAATATGTAAAGTAAAAGGACACAAGTGCAACTAATGTGACATTTTATTGTGGCAACGTTTCGCTCTCCAGGAGCTTTATCAAGCCATTACAAACAATACATGGACACAGAGGGTATATAAAGGCTCAGAGTGAGGTGCAATATTAGTGAGGTACCATATCGATTCACTAGTGGTGGTAGTAGTAGTAGTGACAAAAATAATACAATATGCCTCTTTCCAGTCTATATTTGTCCAACCTATTTTTGTTACCCAAGTAATAGCTTTTATATCCTTCTACTCATGTACGAATTAATTGCTCTACCATATTGTATTATTTTTGTCACTACTACTACTACTACTACTACTACTACTACCACCACTAGTGAACATCGATATGGTACCTCACTAATATTGCACCTCACTCTGAGCCTTTATATACCCTCTGTGTCCATGTATTGTTTGTAATGGCTTGATAAAGCTCCTGGAGAGCGAAACGTTGCCACAATAAAATGTCACATTAGTTGCACTTGTGTCCTTTTCTTCTATATTTTGTTTGAATAAAAATTCAAAATAGAAAGCAAGAGTAATATCAGAGGGGCATGGAGACATAACTGATGAACAAAGAAAATGTTACTTTAGAGCCAGGAATGTCTGCATTGTTCATTCTGGACCTTATTTTGAAATTGTCATATTTTTTAATTTTCGTGAAATTGGCCAAATTGCAAATTTCTGAACACGTTATTGGGTAGTTGAAATCAGCAAATGGGCAGTTTCTTGTAGTCAATCGATAGAAAAAATGGAGTTATAAAGAAATAGCTATGAGTTTGGTTGACTGGAACAATGGAATTAGCCGAAAATAGGGCTCAAAGTGGGCAAAATCGCCGATTTGTAAATATCGCCAAGGTCGCTAACTTTGCAAGAGCGTAATTCCGTCAGTTTTCCATCAAATTTCATTTTTTTGGTGTCATTACAATTGGGAAAAGATTCTCTATCATTTCATGAGATTTCTTTTTTCTTTTTGAAATTTTTGCGACACCAGGAGACACCTCAGGATTTGGGGTTGTGACAGTCAAGGGGTTAAACTGTCCAAATGTAGATTTACGTCCACGTGCGGGGGGCTTCGAACATAGATCTACGTTTTTTTACATTCTTTCAAATGGGGAAAGTCAAGGTTGGAGAGCTACGCACGTGGACGTAGATCTATGTTTGGACAGTTTAAGGGCTAAGGTAAGAAATACTGACATTTCTGCTGCCTTTGTAGTCTTAAGCAGTAAAAACAACATAATGCATCACGATAATGAACTACAATTACATATTCCTTTTATTTTTGTAAGATATGGAGGTCTAAAAAAAAGTTGTTTGGCTTTTTGGGGGCTCCCAGGAACATAACCCTATTTTTCCCATAAGTTCTTCAGTTTGTCTAACATGGTTTTTGTCTAACATGGCATTTTCAGGAACGTAACTGCTGTGTTAAACGATGGTCTACTTAGAAAATTTCCAGCCAAGTCAGGACTCGCAGCAATGGTTTCAAGTTGGAAAAATTCAGATTCAGGAAGGTTATAGGAAAGCACTGGTTTGGTAATAGAGTTGTGAATGAGTGGAACAAACTCCCGAGTACAGTTATTGAGGCTAAAACGTTGTGTAGTTTTAAAAATAGGTTTGATAAATACATGAGTGGGTGTGGGTGGGTGTGAGTTGGACCTGACTAGCTTGTGCTGCTGGGTCTGGTGCAGTGCTCCATCCTTGAGTGGAGGTGACCAGACTGGGTGGGTCATTGGGCTAATTGGAGGGGGGGGGGGTCATTGGTCTAATCCAGGGGGTGGGGGACATGGACCTGCTGCTCATGGGTCAGTAGGCCTGTTGCAGTGTTCCTTCTTTCTTATGTTCTTATAACAATTAAATAATACTGTCCAGTATTTCTTACTTAATATGATATGCTAAAAAATGTTAATTGCTTTAAATTCTAACAGTTTGTTTGCTCTCTTTTCTCAAGGTTACAAGGCTAAACTGCGGTTTGAAGGATTCGTGGAGGACAGTTCTAAGGATTTTTGGGTTGATCTTTGTTCTGAAGAAGTGCACCCTGTTGGCTGGTGTGCGACACAGGGTCGACCTCTGATACCACCACGGACCATCCAGCATAAGTATCGAGACTGGAAAGAATTTCTCATGCGAAGATTGACTGGTGCTCGTACTCTGCCAACAAATTTCGTGTCTCGTGTTGTAGAAAGTCAAAAGTCACGATTTAGGTGAGTGCTAGTATGTATTAACCTATTTAAATATTTATTTAAAAGAAATAATTTATCTCTGTTAACCCTTAAACGGCCCAAATGTATATGCACGTTCTCTCGCGTAGGGCCCCAAATGTATATATACGTTTATTTGTCATTCATTCAACATTGGCACGATAGGCCTGATTCGCCTAAACATGAGAGAATGGGTGTGCACCATATGAAAAAAAATTGGGGACACCTGGGTACCACATGCTCTTTTTTCCTATACAAAAAAAAAAAAAAAATTTTCCTGAAAATATTCGGGGCGCTACGCGAGAGAACGTATATATACATTTGGACCGTTTAAGGGTTAAAAGTTACATTTAAAAGTGTATTAACGTGCAGTTAAACCCTAGTTTCATGGTGGGTGTATTCCTAGAGAGCCTCAGGTTATACACTCTGTGTGTAAAGTGTATATCTTCAGTATTTCCAGTAGAGCCTCTTGGGCAGTTGTAAGGAATTGGGCAGTACGCACCTATATGTGGTTGCAAGGGTCGAGTCATAGCTCCTGGTCCCCCTCTTCACTGGTCAATACTAAGTTATTCTCTTGCTGCTCCATGAACTTTATCATACCTCTTCTTAAAGCTATGTATGGGATTTGCCTCCACCACTTCACTCTCCAGATTATTCCACTTACTAACAGCTCTAAGGCTAAAGGCATACAGTGGACCCTCGTTTTTCATAAGTATCAGTGGCCGTAATTTTCGCAAATTGGAAGTCGTAATTTTCGCAAATTGTAATGTTTTTTGTCAAAATATTGATTCGCAAATCGGCTTTTGACTCGCAAATAGTTGTTCATCCCAGACGCATACAAGCAGCCCTGATGCGGCCACAATCAGTGTGCCATTGTTTATCAGTGAGTGAGCACGATCTCACGCGTTCGTACGATACATTTCGTAATATTTCATTCGTTTTAGTGCTTACAACTGCTAAATAAGCCACCATGGGCCCAAAGAAAGCTAGTGCCAGCCCTTTGGTAAAGAGGGTGACAAACACGATATAATTAAAGAAAAAGATTGTAGAAAAATACGAAAGTGATGGTGGTAGTGATAGTGGTGGAGGGTGGTAATGGTTGTGGTAGTGGTTTTGATAGTGGTAGAGGGTGGTAGTGGCTGTGATGGTGGTAAAGGGTGGTAGTGATGGTGGTAGAGGGTGGTAGTGGTTGTGATGGTTATGATGGTGGTAGAGGGTGGTAGTGATGGTGGTAGTGATGGTGGTAGAGGGTGGTAGTGATGGTGGTAGAGGGTGGTAATGATGATGGTAGAGGGTGGTAGTAATGGAGATTTGTGCAGTGTGGACTAGGATGGAAAGATTTGTGGAAGAACATCACCCTAACAAAGCTGTTGCAAGCTGTGTTGGCAACATGTACAATGACAGTGTCTTGTCCCATTTTAGGGAAATTTTAAAGAGATGCCAGAAACAGAGCTCTCTCGACAGATATTTAGTGTCACAGGTGTGCAGTGACTCTCAAGCTGGTCTTAGTGGCATTAAAAAGCAAAGAAGGAAAGTAACCCCAGAAAAGGACTTGGTACCTGAAGGCTTTATGGAAGGGGATTCCCCTTCCAAACAGTAATTTCTCCATACTCTCCCCTCCTCCCATCTTCCATACACTAAGAAGAATATTCAATGAAGGTAAGTGTCATGTTGTTATTGTTTTATTCTTCATGTCTCATTGTTTTCTGTGTATATACATCTATATTTCATGTAAAAAAAATTTGTTTTAATACTTTTGGGTGTCTGGAATGGATTAATTGGATTTACATTATTTCTTTTGGGGAAAACGGTTTCGCAAATCGTCAATTTTGCCATTAGTTACACTCTCTGGAACGGATTAATTACGAAAAATGAGGGTCCACTGTACTTCCTAACATCCCTATGACTCATCTGGGTTTTCAAATTCCAGTTGTGGCCCCTTGTTCCTGTATGTCATCTCTGAAACATTCAAGCCCTCTCCTTCTTGTCAATTCCTCTCAGTATTTTATACGTTATCATCGTGTGCACCCTATCCCTCCTATCTTCTAGTGTCATCAGGTTGAGCTCCCCTAATCTCTCTTCGTAAGACATACCCTTGGGTTCCAGGACTAATCTTGTTGCAAAATTTTGCACTCTCTTCAATTTCTTGACGTGTTTGACTAAATATGGGTTCCATACTGGTGCTGCATACTCCAGTATGGGCCTGACGTACACAGTGTGCAATGTCATGAATGATTCGTTACTGAGATGTTGAAAAACTATTCTCAGGTTTGCCAAGGGCCCATGTGCTGCAGTGGTTATTTGATTGATGTGTGCCTCAGGGAACGTGTTATAATGCTTACCCCAAGCTCCTTTTCTTTAAGTGACGTTTGCAGTCTTTGATCCCCTAACCTGTACACTGTCTGTTGCCTTCTAAGTCCTTCCCCAATCTTCATGACTTTGCACTTACTGGGATTAAACTCCACGAGCCATTTGTTGGACCAAACTTGTACGTAGTCTGTCTAGATCCCTTTGTAATTTTAGCTGATCCTCACCCGCTTGTATTCTCATCAGTTTCACATCATCAGCGAACAGCTACATATCTGAAGCTATTCTTTCAACCATGTCATTCACGTATACAAGACACAGCACTGGACCTAGGACTGACCCTTGTGAAACCCCACTTGACACTTGTGCCCACTCTGACACTTCATCACGTACCAACACTCGTTTCCTTCCTGTCAGGTAATCCCTGATCCATTGTGATATTTTCTCTACTATTCCTGCCTGCTCCTCTAATTTTTGTACCAGTCTCTTGTGTGATAATGTGTCAAAAGCCTTCTTCCAGTCCAAAATGATGCAATCTTCCCATCCCCTTCTCTCTCTCCTGTCTTACTTCTGTTACCTTATCATAGAACTCAAGTAGATTTGTGACCCAGGATTTGTAAAGTAAAAGGACACAAGTGCAACTAATGTGACATTTTTATTGTGGCAACGTTTCGCTCTCCAGGAGCTTTGTCAAGCCGTTACGGCTTGACAAAGCTCCTGGAGAGCAAAACGTTGCCACAATAAAAATGTCACATTAGTTGCACTTGTGTCCTTTTACTTTACATATTGTCGGTAATTCATCCAACTTTATTACGATTCAGGATTTCCCATCTCTGAAGCCGTGCTGATTGTCATGTATGAGCCCAGTCTTTCAGTGTGCTCCACCACTTCTCCTGATTATCTTTTCCATGACTTTACATACTATACAAGTCATTGATACTGGTCTGTAGTTTAACACTGCCTTTCTGTCCCCTTTTTTAATAATTGGAACTACATTTGCTGTCTTCCACACCTCGGGCAATTGCCTGGTTTTGTTAGATTTATTGAAGATTGCTGCTAGCGGCACACATAGTTCCTCTGCTCACACTCTCAGGATCCATGGAGATATGTTATCTGGGTCCACCGCCTTAGAGGTATCTACTTCGCCTACCAGTTTCTTCACCTCCTCCTTGGTTATGTGTATTGTGTCCAGCACCTGCTAGTGCACCCTACCTCCATGGTTTGTTAGAAGCATTTCTGTCTCTATTGTGAATACTTCTCTAAATCTTGTGTTAAGTTCATCACATACTTCTTGGTCACTCTTTGTGAGCTCCCCTCCTTTCCTCAGCCTGATTACCTGGTCCTTGACTGTTGTTTTTCTCCTAATGGGACTGTATAACAACTTTGGTTGAGATTTGGCTTTTGATGCTTTGTTGTTCTTGTATTGCCTCTGGACCTCTCTCCTTATCCCTGCATATTCGTTTCTGGTTCTTATGCTTAACTCCACGTTTTCTTGAGTACTTTACCTTCTATCTTTTTTCCATGCTCTAGCACACTTGGTTTTGGCCTCTTTTCACTTCCAGTTAAACCATGGGCTCGCTCTGGACTTAGCATTTTTTCTGTTACCCTTTGGTATGAACTTCTCTACCTCCCTGCACTTAGTGGTTACTAGTTCCATCATTTCATTTACTGTCTTTTCCTCTAGTTCCCTTTCCCACTGCACTTCATGCAGGAATCTTTTCATGCCTATGTAGTCCCCTTTCTTGAAGTTTGGCTTCTTTTGTCCTAGTGCTGCTGCATTCTCCACTGTTAACTCTACAAGGCCTTCTGAAACAAGGCTAAAACATGATGTTATAAACATCTGTTCCATACCTGGCTACACAGCCATACACAATTGTAGGCCAGATCAACTAGGAGGTGGAACAGCTATATACTACTCTGATGAACTAGAGTGTATAAATTCTACTTGCACAAGGGATGAACATGGTGAATATACCTTTGCTAAATTTAACCCCTTCAGGGTCCAAGGCCAAAATCTGAAGTGGTGCCCCAGTGTCCAAGAATTTTCCAAAAAAAATTTGCTATTTTTTCTTATGAAATGGTAGAGAATCTTTTTGTGAAGATAATAAAACAAAAAGTACGAAATTTGATGGAAAATTGACGAAATTATGCTCTCGCGAATTTTGATGTGTCAGCGATATTTACGAATCGGCGATTTTGCCGACTTTGACTTCCATTTTAGGCCAATTACATCATTCTAGTCGACCAAATTCTTAGCTATTTTACTAGTATTACTTCTATTCTATCGATTGAACACAAGAAATCACCAAGTCAACTGTTTCAACTACAAAATAAACTGATCAGAAATTGGTAATTTGGCCAATTTAACACAAAGTTCAAAATATTCCAATTTCAAAATAGCGTCCAGAATAAACAATGTAGGCATTCCTGGCACTAAACTAACATTTCCTCGGTTCATTAGTTACGTTTTGAGGCTTTGCAAATAAATCCCATTTTGATTTTTTATTCACATAATGAATTTTTATTCACACCAAAAAATAGAAGATTTACTGTTATGCAATATTGTAATAATTGTATAAATATCATCACCACATTTGTGAATGTGTATTAGACCCACCAGCTGGCGTGTATTAGACATGTGAGGTCGTTTGTTTACTCTTGAACATCGGCAAAAATTTAACATTTCCGCTACTTTG